ACTGTACTAGGTTCGAGTCTCGGAATAAACAAGTTCATCCAGCTTACGAGTTCTAAATTAAATGAAACAAGAGTTCTGAATTCCGTAGCTATCCACCATTCAACACTGCTTATAACACTTGTGACCTAATGGTAACATTGAGGGATGCTTATATGACAAAAGAGACTGATCAATTGCCGTCCGAAACACCAATGAGAACATTCAAACAACTAATACAAACGAAATAACTTTGTACTGTATAAAATAAATATGTTTCGTATTCATTTTAGAATAATATAAGCTTTGATTGTCAGGAAATTATATATTGTTAAAAATGATATTCTATTGAATTGATTAGTCAAAATTAGCACAAAACACAGCACTTCAAATAATCTACATATAAATTAGTACAGTGAAAACTGAAAAAAGGTATGGAATATTTTATGTGAATGAAAAGTGATTTATCCCATTTTGATAAGCTTATTTTACTAATACAGGTACATCCAGCTGATGAGTTCCAAATAGGACGAAATGCGCGTCCTAGATTCCACTGGTAGCTACTATGCATCTTTGCTTAAGAAGCTTGTGACTCAAGGTTATATCAAGACAATCCGCACAGGATGCACATATACCAACAAGTGACTGATCAATCACAGTCCTAAATAACAATGCCAAGATACAGGTAAATAACACCAAGTGAATATAACTTCAGCCCATTGCATAAGCTAGTGGTTATCAGGACTCAGTAGCTAAGTGAATAATGCGATGGCTTTAGAAGCGCACGGTACTGGGTTCGAGTCCCAGAGTTAACATTAACTCTGAGATGCAGGTACATGCAACTGACGAGTCCCAAATACATAGTTGTTTTATTATAAATGGCCATTTTATCATGTTTTGACATAATCATATTTCACTTAACCAGTATAATGTATTAGGGTTGTTTTTTTTCTTTTTGAGACAAAACTAATCTAATTAAGTATAGATTGCATAGATTACACGGCATTAAGACACATATCGATCTTAGTACTTTGATTGATTGACTAAATAATAGTCATGAATTCAGTTGTCAGAATAAACATCAATACGATAGGATCAGGATATATGATGTTGACAACTTCTGAACTATATCATTTATCTGTATCGACTTCCACCAAATAAAAAAAATACAGACTGTATATTTACAGTTTTTATAGGAAATTAATATTATAAATGAAACCGATTATAGTAGGAAAAGTACAAACCTTCAAAAAGAAACAAACATTAGTTTATACAAGCCTTATATTGTTTATAGTTAGTTACAAGCTTGTATAGGAAAATAAAGATTATTATAAAAAGGGAATATGAGCTTACAATATAAGTAATATGAATAGAATTAATTCAAATCCTATTCCCTTTTTCTGATAAACATTAAAAAACAATTTTAAATGTAATGTTAGATATGTATCTAGATTACTAGATTACAATTGATTGATCACTGGGTGGTGATCAATGTCATGCGTGTCAAGTCCTGATTTAGTGCAGATCGAATGCTATCGACCATGTTGCAATGTGGCCACCAGTTTAGGTGACTTGACACTGTGAAGCTGGGTGACACGGGATCGAATCCGCCAGGGAACACCAGTTCCCTCGAGATTAAAAGTACACCTTGCTGACGAGTGCCAAGTTGCACAAAACCCGGGTCCAGGGTTTCCTGTCGACTACCTCTAACCACCATCTAATATCAAGATTACTAGATTTGATAGGGAGTAGTATTGAATGATTAGATTTGAAAGCTCAATTCTATATAAACTAAGTCATATCAAACATCAATAATTTAAAATCAATAATTTATTATTATAAGTTTTACCTTGTTATAGTAAAGTTGGTGAAACTATAATTTATGGACAACCTTTGAGCAACGCCAAAGTGACTTTGAGAGTATCTACCTACTAAATAAGATTGAATGAAGGTTATAAAGCAGTTTGAAGAATAAAGACGTTGATTTATCGTTGATGGTAAGGTTTAGGATTTAGATTTATGGTTTTCATCACCAAATGACATCAGCTAGAATGTCAAGATGCTATTTAGATGAATGGGTGAGTGAATTTCACGCCAAAATCCAAAACCTGTTATCCTCAAACTGACTGATTCGTCCATAAATTATAGTTTCACCGTAAATATTACTATTGCAGAATCCTCATATTATTTATTTGTAGATCAAGTACAAATTACATAATACTTGTTATTTATTGTAATATAACATATTAATGTAATCAGAAGGGGTTTTGTGGAGATTTTAGAAATTTCACTGGTTGAAATCATGAGTCAATTGAAGCTAGATCACCATGGAAAACATGGAAGCACTGGACGGCTGTTTCGTCTTAGTATGGGACTCCTCAGCAGTGCGCATCTAAAACCTCACCCCCTGAGAGATTCGAACCTAGGACCTAGTGAATGCTGGCTCAGTGGTCTAGTGGCTAAGTGCTCGCGCGCAAAACCAGTAGGCCCTGGGTTCGAATCTCGCAAGGGGCAAGGTCTTAGATGCGCACTGCCGAGGAGTCCCATACTAAGACGAAACGGCCGTCCAGTGCTTCCAGGTTTTTCATGGTAGTCTAGCTTCAATTGACTCATGATTTCAACCAGTGAAATATTAATGTAATGTCTGAAATTTTATTGTCTGGTACAAATATGAACCCATGCTGACATTTTTGTTTATACAGAAGGTTCATGTAGTAAGAATAAATGAAATTGTACAGGTATCATTAACAAGGTTAGATTTGATGTTTTTAAATAAATTAGATAGAACGTTAATAATAAAACTATGGTACCTCTGTAATATTCTGTGAAGTGGAAATTAGCATTTCTGATATTTCATAACTTATTGTAAGCCACTCCTTCAAAATAAATAAATAACATGATTACATTTACACAAGCTTTAGTGACAATGATATACATGACAGAATATTTACTTTAATCAAAATCGAAATAGGCTTGATCATGTCGATATTATGCCAGTTTTGGTCAACGTGACATTAGTATATGTCATTGTGCGTTTGTGAAGTATGAAATTCGTAATAGAATATAGTTGAAACTTGTGTGTGTATATGTAATGTAAGAAATGAGTAAATTTACATATGGTTATTTAGATATACAGTCCAAATTGTATAGATAGGCTATCCTATCTATTGAGGCTAGAAGGATTTAGCACGGAATGAAACGATTCAACTGCTAGCTTTCTTATATAATTAGAAAAACCTTTCTGAATTATTTTGATATTTTTTTAAAAGATTGATTTGATTGTTGCTAAAAATTGCATATAATGCTATTGCCAATCTAATTTGTCAATTTTCCGTTTCTACGGGAAAACTTTTAGTGTAGTTTATGTATTACCAGATACTAGTTCAAATTTCACGAAAAAATTCTCTAGTATAGAAAACAATTCTGTACAGATCTATACGGGGTCATCTTTTTTACTTGAACTAAACCATTTCCAAAAGTGTTAGTTGTTAAGTAAAGACCTAAATTATGTATAGTTTCAAGATACATTGCAATTCTTCTATCATACTATGACAATAAGCTAAAACTACTCTATCAATCCAAGATATATTTCATTTTAAATGGTATTTCATTCTAACACTTTTGAATAATACCCTTAAAAGAATCACTAAACTATAAGACTCTACTGAAAAGATATAAAATCAGTGAAAAATGTTTCATTACTTTAAATCAATGTTCAGGATTAAAGTTAATGTATTGATTTGAAAATACTGGGCATAAAGTAAATGGTTAAATTTTGATTTCTGTCAAAACTTCTTTTGAATGAAACAGTTGCTTAAATTAATCTTCTATTTTGAAAGTGAACTTGATATAGTCTGAGAATGTAGTTGTTTTATGCAAACAATTTGTAAACAATACCAAGTGAATTAAAACTTCACCACATTGCATAAGCAAGTGGTTATCAGGACTCAGTAGTTAAGCGGATAACGCGATGGCGTTTGAAGCGAATGGTACTGAGTTCGAGTCCCAGAGTGAACATCAACGTAGGGATGCAGGTACATCCAGATGACGAGTCCCAAACAGGATGAAACGTGCATCCTGGATTCCACTGCTAGCCACTATCCATCTTTGCTTATAATTTGTAAACAAGTTTTTTAATACTTTTTTTTATATTTTCATGGTGACAATTTATTGTTATTATTGTTTAATATATTTCGAAAAAGGAGATTGTTATTGCTAATTGTATAGAAAGAGTACTGTAGTTCTGGTCTTTGATTTTATTATTTCCATGCTACATATTCATATCGATATATGCATTTGTTTGATAATGAATAAAGAGTGGTGTTAAATGATAGAAACAATTAGGAGGAAACCAGTTAAAAGGAACTCTGTTAACACTTAAATTTTAAATAGTTTAAACATATTAGAGTTTAAGTTTATATCATTAACTTTACTAGATAAAGATAATATAAGTGACCCAATTACTCTGTTTTATGAACACAATGTGATAATGAATACAAAAGAGAATAATATTGTCATGTTCGACACCTATTGAGTAATTGATGTTACTACCTATTTTTTTGTTTTATCTTCCATAGATGAATCAGTAAAGTGAATACTTAATGTAGTGTCTAAAGAACTGTTTTGTGAATATTAGTGTCCGTTGAAGTTTATTAATCATCTTCAGTAGTTCATTGTAATCCGATAAGAGAAATCGTCAATACTTCTAGGCATATCATTATATTTGATGGTTTAGCAAACGTCAATTGATTACACTGATAGCCTCTTAATCAGTTTCGAATTTTAAAAGGCTTTATGTATGTCTTAGGTTTGAAAGCTAAATTATCTGATGTGCTTGAGATTAAATATACTTCTAAATATATGTACACAATGTACAAAGTGACAACTATCTTGAAAAATAGTCATTACTTGAAATAGGATAATCTATTTTTATTACATAATTAAAAGGACTTATTCCTTAATGAATAAATTAAATGAATAAGTGAAATATTACAAAATCCAAACAACTTTTTCTTAAAACATACCTTGAAATTCTTTTTGAGCAGCACTAACATTTGTAACAATATTGCTAACATGTCCAAGAACAGTTGCCATTAGAAACATTCCAATAACACCTTCACAAATTAAATAAAAATAGGCTATAGGACATTTTGGTGTTGGAAATCCACCAACAGGAAATAAACTTAACATACTCCAATAAAATGCATGTAAATATTCATATCCATCGTGATGATCTGGAGTTAATTGTATTTTATTTGGGGACATTGTTATTAGAGAACCTACATCAGTATTAGTGAGTTTTACTGAAGCTGATGTTGCTGTTGAAAAAATGGTTTCATTATCAATATTACTTAATGAATGATTAGTTCTTAGTAGTAAGGAACTACCATTATTTATAACGTTTTCACTGAGATTACTACGGTTGCTGGTATGATTAATATTTTGGTTATTATTATTACGATGACTATTATTAATATTGGTAGTATGATGGTTAGTGTGGGCAGCGCTTAAGTTTGGAATGTTTGTTCTTGATCCGTCAATTATAGTTGTTCCTGAGGTTGGCGACTGTGTCAAAGATGTCATGAACAAGGTGTCCGCAGTTGAGTTAATCAGCTGAAAAACGCATGCATTCCAATGTAAGAATGTTAAATAATACAACAGTAATTTAGTTGATCGCATTAAATTAGGATAATTTGTATGTCGTTCAGCTCTATCCATAAATTGCCAAAATTTGTACACTTTACACAATCGGAATATACGTAAAATAGATTTAAAACCAATGGATAAATATAAAAAGTCCAGTGGAAGTAAACTTAAACAATCGATATAAAAACGTGATGAATTTAGGTAGTGTGAACGCATTTTCATTCCATCAAATTGCATAACACCATCTTCTAGGAAGCCGGTTCTTAACGATATAGTCATATCAATTAAATATAACAAATCAGCGAAATAATCTAAAGTTAACCAGAATATAACTGTTTGTTGATTGATCTCATTAAATGCAAATCTATAGATAATAACCCACAAATGATACATAAATACAATGCTGATAACACCACACCATGAATGAACTATACGTCCAGACGGATTAAAATAGAGTAACGCACTATTCCAATTAGATTTTCGTAGCTTTTGGGATTTGTTCTGTAGTGATGATGGAGTTCTAGATATACTAGTCTTATTGATCCCTTGAATCATGTCATGTTTCTCTTTAGGATCAGAATAAGAATATGGTCCATTGTACAATAATGGGACATTTGGTTGTGTATTTGAATAGTTTTCGCCTGATAATCGTTGACGTATGTGATTTTGCTTTTCATACGTTGTTATATTTTCATCAGTTTTATCTTCTTTGCATATAAACCAGTTGGATTGTTTAGAATTATCCAGTGTGATTACCGAATCATCAGATGTGCTGACATGTGTATCATCCATTGTTAACTGCAATTTTTTCCAATCAAAGTGGATAGTATTCTTACATTTGTAACTCTTTTTCCGTTCATAAACCGCTGAATTCTTTACAGTTTAAATTTGAAGCTGATTGCGATTACTGGCTAAACGATTTATGATAAAATGAATAACCACATTAAAATAATACAGAAAGCTGGGAACTAGTTGTGTTTTGTTTCTTTTAAAATCACTGAAATTTTAAACCAATCGTTTTTGTTCGGTCATTCTGGAAATAAACTTACTGGGACGTGATTGGTTTACATTTCAGCTAATCAAAATAGTCAATAATTCAACCATAGTCTTAACTTCATTATTCATCAATTGGTTTTGGTCATTTGTTTATGGAATGTTGAATTTCATTGAAATCATGAACTAATCTTAATTAGACCATCATTGAAAACTTGGAAACACCAAACTCCCGTTTCACCTAAGTATGTGTACTTGGTTTTTTTGTTGTTGTAAAAAAATACAATCATTCAATGATATTACATTTTCTCAAGGAATTCCGATCATTGCTATAATTATTTCTACTCACAAAAGTTACAAAAATATAAGTGTACTAAATTTTTTCGTAAACAATTTATCCATGTAGGCATAAGAATGTGGTCTTAAAAGATTATCTAGTGGTTACTTCTATCTATGAAAAAGAACAGTTAAATATTACCTGTTTACTATTTAGAGGGGTACAATTGAAACCAACCATTTCGATAAAGTTCATCTGTATCAAAGTTTCACTTTTGAAAAGGGTTATGACTACAATTTAATATATACTTTTTGTGTGATCTGTATGAAATTGTAACTAAGCACATCAGGCAAAAGAACGATATTTCGTTCATGATACTGTTATCTAAATGTTGTTATCATAACAGTCCAAAATATAAAAAAAATTATTGAATATTCATTGAAAATGATATGCTCCATAATATAGAATAAAGCAGTGACACCAATTATATTATAATTAATAGAGAAGTAAGTAATAAAGTGAAAAAACAAGTAAAACTTTATAGGATCTGTCATAAAATGAGGTATTTGAGATTTAAATATGAATGCATCAATAACATTTAAAAGGGTTCAGAAGAAATGAATCTTAAAGTCTCTAAATATTGATGACAATGAGCTTGATGAATCCAAACAGGTATTTTGGACAACTTTATCTGATTGAAATAAAAAGTTACTAGCCCATTTAGATTGATGTTATTCATTTGTTTGATCATGTGAATCAACGTAGCAATCTAGGTTTTACACTATTTCAGCATGAGTAATATATATAAAGTCGATACATTTTCATAAGTTTATCAAAATGATTGGGTACACTTATTTTTGTACCTTAGATATAATAACAGCAAAATTACGCGAGAAATGCCTTGAAGACATTTATAATCTACTCTGCAGAGTCTAATCATTTATGTTACTGATAAAATAATCCTTCAGACAATCCCGCGGGGTGCGGGATCGTGGATGCGCACTGCTGAGGAGTCCCATACTAGGACGAAACGGCCGTCCAGTGCTTCCAGGTTTCCAACGGTGGTCTAACATCAATTGATTCATGATCTCAACCAAAAACTTAACAATCTCCACAACCTCCATACTGATAATAAGAAAATATCCAAAATAATTTTCTATTGATGAATCAATGGATCCAGCTGATCAAAAGTCAGGGAACTTATACTGCCTTCATGAATACATGGATTTTCCCAGGATGAAACAACTTTCAGGATAAATGATGTCACAAAATTACTCTACTGTTTAAACATATATGCAAGAATAGAAGCGTGAAAGACTAAATTAGAATCACTATTTATAACTGGAACGTAAGTGATACGTCACAAGCGAGCTCTCAGTAAGTTATTCATGTCTTCAATTAATAGGGATTCGCCGTTTCCACAAATTCCAACCAGTTGTTCAATCGTTAAAAGCTTCTATGAGTAAACATTTACACTTTAGAAGCACACTTCAACATAATTGAATAAAAAATTTCTGATGAGGACACCACTAATGAATACTATCGTAGATTATCGTCAAATTCAATCCTTGGGGTGGTCAAGTAAATGACTTCCAGTAGAGTGATGTAAATATTTATAACACTCTTTAGTAATACATTTTACTCATATAACTTCTATAACAGTTGAAACTAGTTTTTTTATGTCATGGAAAGCGTCAAAAGCCTAAAGATGAGTTTATACATGTTAAATGTAAACTTACATAAGAACTCTTGGTATATACCGAAATGTATTTATTCTTAGACTTTCTTATTCTTTTTTAAATATCATATATTTCCGTTTATTTAGAATGGTTGGATGACCAGTAAAATATCAAATAAAATTACTTTTTATTTTCAGAATGTGAGTTACTTGAGATTCAATAGATCTAGTAATTTATATTTTTAGGTGTAAACATACTATCACTGATCATGGTTCAGTTTTATGATTCGATTATGGAAAGAACAGTATCCCATCAGTGAACCTGTTCTATGTTATCTGATGAAGATATGTCCTGTGTATTAAAGGATGTGTTGACGTTATTATACTTAAACGTTATAAAACCGATTGAAACAAATTAAACCATATATGTATATAACTATCCGACAGATATTAACTTCTAATTAAGTTCATATCTAAAAATGGCTGGAAATTTCTATTTCAATCCGTTTAGAATATAGTTAAACTTGAGAAGTCAAAATCGTTAATAAATATATAATCTGGTAGTACTGAATAGCCATTTCGTTCTACTATGGGATTCCTCAGCAGTGTGTATCTATGATCCCACTGAGGAACCCCATACTAAAACGAAACGGCTATTCAGTGCCTTCAGAGTTTCAATGGTTGTTCAGTTTAAATTGAATTGCAAATTCAACTTTTAAAAATGCTACAATTTCTGCAAATTCTCATACTAAAAATAGATAAACTTAAATAGTACAATATTACAAAAACTTAGTTACTGAAAGCACATTAATTATGAATGACATTCAAAGAGAAGATAATTACAAGGATACAATCTGTTCTTGATTAACATTTACAAAACAAGGATAATATAACAATAAAAAATGAATAAAATGAGAAATTTTGTATTATGGGATAAATATGTTTCTTTAAGACTAGACACATTTCTAAAAAAAAATATCCTTATCGATTTTCTTTAAAAATTAAAGTTTTCCCTTTTTAATACAATATAGCTTATATGATAAATTAAGGCTGGAATCAGTACAGAGACGATTTACACTTCGTATTCTTGGAGATGATTGTACCTTAACTTATAATTCTAGATGTAATAAACTTGGGCTAGACCCTTTATGGAGGAGGAGACTCAAACTAAATCTTATCTTTTTCTTCAAACTACTTCATAAACTATCGTTTACATCCGATCACGCGATTCAATATGCAGAAACCTCTCATTATGACATCCGTAATTCTTTGGCACTAGTGAAACAAACTCATTCTAAATCATCTCTTTATGTGAATTACTTCACCTGTAAATTTTCTAGACTCTGGAATAACCTACCACAATCTATCCGTACGATAAAATCACTCCCATTATTTGTTCGCTGAATTGATGCATACTGCTCCTCTGAAAATGCATTGAATGGTCTAGCGCCTTTAAGTGTATCTCATTCCACAAGTGATATTTTAGGAACTTTAAATGTTTAGCCATCTTTATTAGTGAATTCCCTTAGTAAAACCACTCACTTGCTGTCAATATGTTAACACCGCCCCTAGCAACTTCAACTAATTTGAATAACATCAACAGTATATTACTGTCACATGACACACGCATTTAGGTAGACCTGATTAATATATTTTGGTAATTACTGCTTTGTTGTTCCGTGCTCTCTGTTTTCGTTTTAATTTCTCTAGTTGTAGATAATTATCATTAATTCGATCTGGCACAGGAAATGATCTTAATTACACTGTTCATAAATCAACAGGCTGTCCATTTAAGAAATATTAAAAACTCCCGGCTGATGCTTTGGATCGCTGTAATATATGTACTACTTAAACAACTACTGAACTAGTATACTTAAAACTTTCTTTTATCACATGTTTGTTCTGCACGTCTAACGTTATTATTTATATCAAATTGATCATGCCTGTAAACTGGCGTGAATTCTGTAATTATTATTTTTCAGAATATAAAATTATTATTATATACCGATAAAATTATCGGTAACAATTGGGTATTTATGATCTTATTAGAATAAAATATTATTAAAATGATTTAAATGATTGATCTGTCAATATTAAGATCATAATTATTATTGATAATGATACAAATTTTATTTGGTTATTCGTAAATATGATCCCTTCCTTTTAAACTTTACTAAATACATTTTAATTAGATTAGATCGCATTCATTTTAAGTATTTCAATGTATTTGATTTTATTAAGATAATGTTAATTGGTACCAGCTATATTCATAAATATGTAATCGATTTTTAACGTTTCATGTTTATTCGACTTCTAGAAGCATTACAAGAACTTGAGAGCATTTGTATAATGATTTGCCAACAAAAATAGGAGAAACTGTATTTGGAAACTGGTTGAAACTAGAGCACATTTTTTATTCTCTCGAAAGATTAGCTTTGTTAGATTACTGAAATAAACATAGAATCTTCCCTCTTTGATGGATTGATGTCAACTGTCAAACGATTCATTCTAAATACATTTTTAAAATGATTTTGTATAATCGAGTTGTTTTATCAGTATGAGGTTGTGGAGATTTTTAAGTTTTTGATGAAGATTATGAACCTATTGAGACCGAAGGTTCTGGGTTCGAATCCCTCGAGCTGGGTTGTGGATGAGCACTGCCGAGGAGTCCTACAGCAGGAAGAAACGGCCGTCCAGTGCTTCCAGGTTTTTAATGGTGGTCTAACATCAATCGGTTCATGATCTAAACCAGGTTGTTTTGTTTCCTCGAAGTGATTTGATCGAATCTGTATGCAAGTTATTCAAATGTATGGAACAGAATTTATTGATTTGTTTGTAAGTTGTGACAGTGTATTATGGATGAACCATTCCTTCGCCCATAATTTATTCTCTAATGCTTGAATGCATTCATTTGAGTTGATATCATTGTTCCTCACCTAAAACAATATTGGAAATTAAGTTAATAAATTACTGTTAAGATTGGTTCAATGATCAATTTTGTT